TTATCTCCCAAACGTCAAATCATGGTCTAACTCTGGTTTGTGTGTTATATCGTAGCTCTAACCCCGATTGTTTGTGTTATCTCCCAAACGTCAAATCATGGTCTAACTCTGGTTTGTGTGTTATATCGTAGCTCTAACCCCGATTGTTTGTGTTATCTCCCAAACGTCAAATCATGGTCTAACTCTGGTTTGTGTGTTATATCGTAGCTCTAACCCCGATTGTTTGTGTTATCTCCCAAACGTCAAATCATGGTCTAACTCTGGTTTGTGTGTTATATCGTAGCTCTCAAGCCTCTAATCCTGATTGTTAGTGTTATCTCCCATACGTCAAATCATGGTTATCATCTCCCATGGTTCTAACCCTGTTTGTGTGTTATATCGTAGCAGCAGCAGCAGCAGCAGTCGCCACGCCACCAACATCTGTTATGGGCATGTCACATGTCGACACGATGCGAGCGCTCGATCTTCTCGGCATTGTCAAGTCAAAGATCCAGGTGAAGCCTCAGCCAGAGCAGCTTGAACACGTGCCACACCTCACCAAGTGGGACACGCGCAAGCTGAGAACGTGAGTAGCAACAGGCAGGGCCACAATTAAAAAAATCTTTGTTTGCCCTCACCCGACCCAGGCTGAAAATTTTGGGTAGATAGGTAGGCTTCTTCTTTTTTTGAAGGGGTCTTTTTACAAATTCAGCATGGTGTCTACATGCTCGGGTGTGCTTGTGTGGAGATACCTTTTATGTTGAATGTTTGTTTTGCTTGGTACATATAATGAATGTATTGCCTACAGATTAATATAATGTACAGTAAAAAAAACACAAAAAAACAATAAAATTCTTTAGTCGGCCCATTTTTGGCGGGTCGGTTGGGTGAGGGCAAACAAACAATATTTTTATTATGGCCTCAGTGTTGGCGTGTTGCAACTAGCCAGCCGCTACTTCGTAGCTATCCTGCATTCGCCTACATTCGTTTACTTATAGCAAAGTCAAGTGTCACCGATTCAGTTACACGGCAATGGTTGTGCACGCGAATGTGAGGTAAAGTCGGTAGGGAAAAACAAACATCGCAGTAGCTCCTCGCCCCCTAAACCGCCGTATTTTGCGGACGTAGTCACAGGCAGGCTTTTTGTCATGTGAGCAGGTACTATACTGGAGTGGTCGACATCCTATACGTCGGTGTGCAGTGTGCATCGTGCGGCATGCGCTTCCGAGCAGTCCAGAACCAGCAGTATGCCGAGCACCTCGACTGGCATTTTCGACAGAATCGCAAGGACAAGGACCTACTGAAGAGGGCAACATCGCGAAAGTGGTACTACGACCTGGAGGTGGGCGATAGCTTACTCGACATGTCGATAATGATGGCAAAAACACATTTGCCCAGCGTAATTAAAGTGCAGTTGTGTTGCTGTGTCATTATAGTTAACTACACTGTGATTTTGACAAGTGTTTGATTTGCCCAATGATCACTACTCATGCTATTACGTACTGTACACATCTCTCTCTCTTTCTCTGTCTCTCTGTCTTTGTCTCTCTCTCTCGCTCGCTCTTTCACTCTTATAAACACACACACACGCACACACACAACACACGCACACACACACACACACACACAACACACACACACACACACACACACACACACACACACTCGCTCTGACCCTGCACGTCTACTTGCCGTGATCATAGGACTGGATACAGTACGAGGAAATAGAAGACCTGGAAGCGCGGCGAAGCCACTTCTTTGAGCAGCAGATGGAGGAGGCAGCAGCACAGAGGCACGCTTACCGCAGCCAGACGACGGAGCCCATCTCCTGCATAACCGCCAGCCCATCTGGAAACAACGTACGTCACACGCATGTGCACACGGACACACACGGACACGCATGTGCACAT